GTATTCGTTCTATTTTCCTCATGTGGGAACTCAGTGCAATAAATTTTCTTCTGAGGACAGCTTTCATTGCATCCCAGATTCCAGTAAATTGTATTTGTGTTTTCATTTGCTTTTTGGTATTGTTTGATTTCTTCTTTAATTTTCTTTGTGACTCACTGATTACTCAAGAGTGTGTTATTCAGTTTCCAGGTGTTTGTGCGATTTTTGCAGTATCTTTTATCATTAGTTTCTAATTTCATAGTGCTATGATCCGATAACATGCAAGGGATAATTTCAACTCTTTTTCTATTATTTAAATATGTTCTGTGAGTTAATATATGGTCTATTTTAGAGAATGACCCATGTACTGCTGATAATAATGTGTATTCTGTTGTTGTTCATTGATATACTCTGTATATGTCTATCAAGTCCATTTGTTCATAGGTGTGATTCAGTTCTGTTATTTTTTTGCTGGTTTTCTCTCTGATTGATCTGTCCATTGGTGTCAATGGTGTGTTAAAATCTCCTGTTATAATTGTATCACTCCTAATTTGGTTTTTGATTTTTCATATTACTTGTTTTATATAACTGGGTGTCTGGAATTTGGTGTTTATATATTTAAAATAGTTATCTCTTCCTCTTGATATTTTCCCCTAATCAGTATGTAGTGACCTTCTTTATCTCTTCTGATCATTACTGGTTTGAAGTTTACCTTTTCTGCAAACAGAATAGCTACCCCTGATTTTTGGTAGGTTCGTTTTGCATGAAGTATTGTTTTCCATCCTTTGACTTTTAGTCTGTGAGTATCCTTTTGGGTTAGATGGGTTTCTTGTAGACAGCATATGGTTGGATGTGGTTTCTTGATCCATTCTGCCAGTCTGTTTCTTTTAATTGGTGCATTTAGACCATTTACATTAATGGTTATAACTGTTATATATTGGTTTACTGCTGACATGTTATATTTCTGCTGTTGCATCTTTATCTTTCTATTCTGCTTAATTGTCTGCCTTGTTTAGTGGTTTTTTCCTAAATGTATCTAAGCTGTCTTTCAGTATTCTTTGCAGCATTGGCCTCGTGATCATGAAGTTCTTCACCTGTTCTTTGTCATGGAAGTATCTTATTTCTCCATCGATTTTGAAGGACAGTTTTGCAGGGTACATCAGCCTAGGTTGGAAATCATTTTCTTTTAGGATCTGAAATACTTCACTCCATGCTCTTCTTGACTTTATTGTTTGTGCTGGGAAGTCTGTTGTGATTCTTATAGGTTTTCCTTTATTGATGATCTGTCTTTTCTCTCTGACAGCTTTTAATATTCTATTCTATTGTTCGATTTCTGGGATGGTGATTATTATATGTCTGGGTGTAGTTTTATTTTGGTTATGGCTATTTGGAGTTCTATATGCTTCATTGATCCTGATATCAGTTTCTAATTTCATGTTTGGGAAATTTTCAGCTTTTATTTCTCTAAATGTCCTCTTGACATCCTTTATATTGTCTCCTTCTTTTTCATTTATCCCTATCAACCTTATGTTGTTTTTCTTTGCATCATTTTTCAGGTGTTGAATTTTTTTTTCTTGATTTCTTGTTATTTTATAAAGATATTTCCTTTCCTGTTCTCTGGCTGCAATCCTGTCTTCAAGGTCTGAAATTCTATCTTCAAATTCATTGAGGCAGTTTTTACAACTTTCAATGGAATTTTTGATTTCCTGTATATTTCTTTGCATCTTTTTATGGATTCTGTTTGTTTCTTATATTGTTCACCCAGATATTCTATCTTTTTGTTTAGTTCCTCCATTTTTTAAACTGTGTCTTCTTTAGATATTTTCAGCATCTGCTTCATTTCTTCTTTTACCTGAGAGATTATTTCTAGTTTGAATTCCTTTAAATCTTTCTGGAGTAGCTTCTTTATTTCAGTTACTATTGTTTCAGGTATTTCAGGTATATGGCGTGTATTTTCCTCTATGTACATGGCTCCTAGGCTTTCTTGGGAAGGGCTGGATATTTGAGATTGTATTTTGGTCTTTCATTTTGTCATTTTCATATATTTCCATGTTTCAAGTGTTGTTCAAGAGTTTCCCCAGGGAGTGTTGGAAATTGTCTCTTATGTCCTGGGCTCCTGGGACTCCTCTGGTAGTGTATCTCCCTCCTTGGGGAGCGGAGCCCTTGGATTAAAAGAGGGTTGCCAAGCTCCTCTCAGGTAGACCTAAAGCCTCCTCAAGCTGCACAGTTTCCCCCTCTTGTAGCAAAGCTCTCCTGAGGGAAAGAAGGCCACCTGGTGTGCTCCAGGCAATCCCAATCCTGCTAAGTCCAATCTAGTGTGGCTGCAAGCCCAGCAGACCCCCAACTCCGTAAAGCAAGGATCTCATACTGTCCCAGGGTTTGGTTGTTGTGTAGTCATCCAGCTCCTTAGATGGCAAAGCTCCCCAGGCTGATAGAAGGTCTCCCTATGGTAGGCCTCAAACCTCCTCAGCAGGGCTACTCCCTCCTCCAGGCAGTGGCAGTGTTGCTGGTTCTCTCCAGGTAAAAAGAAGTTCGCAGGCAAGGCCACTGCAATTTCCTGCAGCTCAGCCCAGCTCCCTCCTTCAGGCAGGCAGATGTGGTGTGCTCCTCAGGAAGAAGAGGTGGCAGGTGGGGCTGGAATGGGGTCCCTCCACTCGGCTGTGCTCTCTCCTTCTGGCGGGCAGCTGTGGTGTGCTCCTCAGGTGGGAGAGGTGGCGGGTGGGGCTGGAACAGGGTCACTAAGCTCGGCTGTGCTCTCTGCTTCCCAAGAATAGCCATTTTCACAATGTTGTTTCTTCCTATCCATGAACATGGAATGCTTTTCCATTCTCTGAGATCCTCTTTGATTTCTTTTTTTCAGAATACTGTATTTTTCTCTGAGTAGATCTTTTACTACCTTTGTCAAATTGATTCCCAATATTTCATTTTTTGGATGCTTTCGTGAAGGGTTTCTCTTATTTTCCTCTTGGTGAGTTTGTTGTTTGTGTAGAGGAACGCTATTGATTTTTGAGTTTTGACTTTGTATCCAGCTACATTACTGCATTTGGTTATTACATCTTTCCATACTATTTCATCATTCAACGAAGTTTTGGGGGTCTTCTATATCAAGTTTCTTTAATCTGTAAAGAATAGTAGTTTAACCTCTGCCTTTCCTACCTTTATTCCTTCTCTCTCTCTGTCTCTGTCTCTGTCTCTGTCTCTCTCTCTCTCTCTCTCTCTCTCTCTCTCTCTCTCTTTCTGTCTCTCTCATCTAATGATCTGGCCAATATTTTCAGCACTATTTTTAATAGGAGTGGTGTTAATGGACAACCTTATCTTGTTTCTGATTTTAGAATAAAAGCTCTCAATATTAGACCATTTATAACAGTGCTGACTTTTGTCTTATCACAGATACCTTTTATCAGATTGATGTAGAGACCATCTATTCCAATTTTTCATAGGGTTCTTATCATGACTGAATGTTAGGCTTCATTAAAAGTTTTTTCTGCACCTATTGAAATGATCATGTGATTTTTATTTTTGGCTCTATTGATATGATGTATTACACTTATTTACTTGTGTATGCTGAGCCATTCCTGCATTCCTGGGATGAATCCCACTTGGTCTTGGGGTATAATGTTCTTGATGACTTGCTGCATTCTGTTTACCAGTGTTTCATTGAGGATTTTTGCAACTATGTTCATTAGGGACATTGACCTGTAATTTTCCTTTATGTTGAACCTTTCTCTGGTTTTGGTAGTAGGATAATATTTGCTTCCAGGAATGACATAGAGAGAACTGATTCCTTTACAATTTCATTGAAGAGTCTGAGAAGTGTTGGCATTAAGTCTTGCTTGAATTTCTTGTAGAATTCAGCTGTGAATCCATCAGGACATGGACTTTTTTGTCGGTAAGGTTCTAATTACATTTTCAATTTCATTAATTGATATTCAGTTATTCAGCAATTTTACATCTTCTTAATTCAGCTTTGGTAATTCATTCATTCCTAGAAATCTGTAGATTTCTTTTGGTTATCAAATCTATGAGAATAAGTGTTTCAAAATAGCTACTGATGATCTTCTATATGTCCACAGGGTCTGTAGTGACTTTGCCCTTTTCATTCTTTTTTATGAGTTTGGATCCTTGTTTCCTTTTTAAAACAACGTTGGCTAAGAACTTATCAATTTTATTTAATCTTTGAAAGATCCTGCTCTTTGATTTGTTAATTCTTTGTATTATTTTCTTAGTGTCAATTGCATCAATTTCTTCTCTAATTTTTGTAATTTCCAAAAGCCTTCTATTGGCTTTTGCCTTGACTTGCTTTTCTTTTTCTAGAAGCTTGAGATGTAACATCACATTTTTTATTGTTTGCATTCTGTTTTCCTGTTGTGGGAAATCACTGCAATAAATTTCCCTCTGAGAAATGCTTTCATTTCATCCCACATATTCCAGTATGCTTTATTTGTGTTTTTGTTTTCTGGTACATATTCTTTGGTTTCTTCTGGGACCCTCTGATTGCTCTGGAGTGTAGTATTTAATATCCATGTGTTTGTGGATATTTGGCAGTTTACTTTGTCATTATTTTACAATTTCATGGCACTGGGATCAAATAAGATGCAAGGAATAATTTCAATTCTTTTGTATTTAATTAATCAAGTTTGTGAGCTAGCATTTGGTCTATGTTAGAGAAAGTTCAATGTGAAGGCAAGAAGAATGTATATTCTGATGTAGTTGAGTGGAACACCTTGTACACATCCACTAAGTCTATTTGTCTGTGAGTTTGATTCACTTCAGTTATGTCTTTGCTGATTTTCTACCTAGTTGATCAGTCTCTGTCAAGTGAGTATTAAAGTCTCCTGTTATAATTGTTGTCATGGTTTACGTTTGTGTCCCCCAGGCCTCATGAGTTTGCATTGTTCATTTGTGATGGTTCATTGTATAGTGCTTGGATTGATGGTGTCAGTGCTCCACCCACATAGGGGTGGAGCCAGGATGTGATGTAATGGCAGGAAGAAGGTGTGTCTTTCTCTTTGCTGGTTCGAGTTTGCTGCTGGTGGCCACCATGAACTGCAGCCCAGCCATGCCTGCCTGTCTTGGAGACAACTGAGTGTGGACTGAAACCTCCAAAAACTGTAAGAAATAAACCTTTCCCAACTTTGGGCTTCAGGTATTTTGTTTCAGCAACGAGCATAAAGTAACTAAGACAGTTGTAATATCTCTTCTATCATTTTCCATCTCTATTAATGTTTGTTTTACACAACTGAGTGCTTGTGAATTTGGTGCCTACATATTTAAGATTGTTATCTCTTCTTTTTGAAGTTTTCCTCTAACCAGCATGTATTGACCTTCTTTATCTGCTTTGATCCTTCTTGAAGTTCACATTGTCTGGAAACAAAATTGCTATCTATGATTTTTGGGGGTTTCCTGTTGTGTGAAGCATTGTTTTCGATCCTCTGACTTTCAATCTATGGATTTACTTTTTCATTAGATGGCTTTTTGTATACAGCATATATGGTTGGATGTTGTTCCTTGATCCATTCTGCCAGTCTGTTTCTTTTAATTGGTGAACTGAGGCTGTTTACATCAATGGTTTTAACTGATGTATGTTTGCTGGTTTTGGGTGCACTATCTTTCTGCAGTTGGTTCTTTACCTTTCCTCTCAGGTTAATTGTTTGCCTTGCTTGGCAGTTTTTTTCTGTTGGTGTTCTTGGAGTCATAGTTGTTTTTATGGCTATCTAGAATAAGTTTCAGTATTGTTTGCTGGGTTGGTTTGGTGGCCCTGAAGTTCTTGAGCTGTTATTTTCATGTATGTATCTTATTTTTCCATCGGTTTTTTTATTTAAAGAAAAAACAAAACTAAATGAAGCAAAACAGTAAAAGGCTAGAAGTGATACAGAATTTCAAGAGAAAAAATCTACAGTAAGAATTCACCAGTTAATAGATCACACATTGTCATCTTAGAAACAGTTGTCCAGAATACAAAATTAAAGCATACAAAGTGGACATTAATACAGTGAAATTGCAGTCAGTTCTGTTCAGTGATCCAAGAAAAACTCAGCAATATGGTTCTCTATCCTACACATTTAAATATACTTGCAGTTACGTCCTTTAGATCACTTTCCTTCTTCTCTTTTTTACGCTAAAAATCACACATTTTGGTTTCCACTACTCCCACAGTTCTTATAACTTTTTCTTTGAAGAGGAAAAGAAAAAAGATTTTTAAAAAACCAAAAAACAAGAAAACAAAACAAGATGGACCAAAGAAAAACCCAATGTGACAAATAAAAACAGAGTCAGAGCAGGAGGATGGACATAGTATATAATGAAAAAAAAAGATTACTAGGTGATCAACAATGGTTACCATTATGCCTCTTGTTATCCTAAAAAGAGTTGCCTATATCAGCTGGTATAAAAGAATTGAACAAAACAGTGCAGAAGACCAATAAACTCACATTGGAGAGCTTACAGGACTTCCAAAGAAGATAATAGTCAAATGATAATGGGCATCATAGAATATCCGGTTGCCTTCCAAATGGTTGCCTATACCCTCAAACTTGATACTATTAAGCAAAACAGAATATGATAAAATCAGTCAGAACAAGATGTGGAGAACAATACAGGGGTTCAAATCAGGTTAATAGTCTCCATCAGTTTTGAAAGACAGTTTTTAGCACACATCAATCTTGTTTGGAAGTCATTTTTAGTATTTAAAATAATTCTCACCATGCTTTTCTTGACCTCATTGTGTTGAAAAAACTGCTGTCATTCTGATGGGCTTTCTATTTTAGGTAATCAGTCTCTCTTTTTTCTAATAGCTTTTATTATTCTGTTCTCTTGCTGAATTTCTGGGATGTTGATAATTATACATCTGAGTGTAGATTTATTTTGATTATGGCTAATTGGAGTTCTATATGCTTCACTTACCTATATATTAGTTTCCTTTCCCATTTTTGGGAAAATTTCAGCTATTATAGCTGTTAAAATTATGTTATTGCATATTTGTTTATCTATTAATATTTGTCTTATATAGTTTGGTGTTGCTGTGTTTGATGCACATATTTATGATTGTTGTCTATTCCTCTTGCATTTTTCTTCTAATAAGTTTGCAGTGTTCTTATTTATGTGTTCTGATATTTTTGCTTTGAAGTTCACATTGACTGCAAATAGAAAGGTACGTCAATGCCAAGGAATATTGCTCCTGTCACATGGAATATCATTTTCCATTATTTGACTTTCACTCTATGAGTTTCTTTTTGAATTAAATATATTTCTTTTACGCAGCATATTCTTGGATCCTGTTTCTTCATCTAATCTGTCAATCAGGTTCTTTTAATTTGTGAATTGAGGCCATTTATGTTGATAGTTACAACTAATTTATATTGGCTTAGCTTTGTCATGGTATTTTTCTTTTCTTGGTTACCTGCTTTCTCCTCATTAATTACTTGCCCTGCCTGTTGGTTTCTTTCTGTTGGAGTTCTGGAAATTGTAGTAACCTTTATCTCTATCTAGTGTATCTTTCAGTATTCATTCTTGTCGATGTCCGCTCCCGGCCGGCAGGAAAGACACACGACAAGGTCTGGCGGTGGTCAGGCTTTTCTTTATTCTCTCCTTATACAGTCTGCCCCGAAGCCTCTACCGGTCCGCTCCCCGCGGCTCCTTTTGTGCTTCAGTCTCTCTCTCTCTCGGGGGTGGAGGCACTGGCTATATATAGGATTAATAGCTAGGCAGACTACCCTGTGAGGCGGGAACTTAGTGGGGTGATAAGAAACAGGTGCCACACAGGCGGGCTCGATGAGAGGGGTAATCTAGCCCAGGCTTTTGTACTTTCCCACAGGCCTCGCAATCACCGCGTCTGATGACTTGACAGTGCCACGGCTCCCAACATCTCCCCCTATTTTATTTTAAATGATGGCTACGCGCATCGCAGCCCGTCCTGGATAGAGTGCAGAGGCCTATGCCCCGAACTGAGGCCCACCGTAGGCCCTTAGCGTAGACCCTGGTCGGCCGTCCCAGGGTCCACCAAGGCCCTGAGGCCCTCGTCCTTTTTTCTAGGGCCAGGAATGAACCGGACGGAACCTGGTTGCACATAGGCATGCACTCATTTCTCTCCACGAATCCCCTCGGAGAGAAATTTATCTAACAATCCAGCGGCTTTCGAGCGGAACGGGGTAGGGCCTGGCTTAGGTTGAGTCGTGCTGGGGAGGCACGCTCTTACCCGTCATTGACTCACCCACCCTGCTACATGTTGTTGTCTAGGGAGGAGAATGTGGGAAGCCTGTCACTTTTAAACGCGGTCGTAGGCCATGCGAGTGAGCCATGCGTATACAAGGGTAGCACATAGGGGAGCAAGCCGTTCCAGGCCCCCAAAAAGGGATTGTCCTGCAGTTCTTTTAGGGCTCATCTTGTTGTTGGGTCTGCGGTTGGCCTCTGGTGGAACAGGCCTGATCTTCAGTCGAGGGACTTGTCGCGTCAACCTCTCTGGGACCCACATTGGTTCTCGTCCCGATTCCTGCAGAAAGACACAAACCGCGCCTCGGCTTCCTCTTTTGTATCTCTGCCCTCCTTGACGGACCCTTCTCGGTCGGGAGCTTCCTGACTGTGCCTGTTCAAACACCTCGCGTACTTCTACAAGTTCTTGAGAGCTCCCCCCGTAACTACCCTCACTCTTTAGGCACGTGTGTATCATTTCCCACAATGGACGAGCAGAGACTGAAGCTCTACCCTCCCGCTCTGCTAGGGAAAGGTCTCTGCCCAACTTTTCCCAGGAGGGCAGGTTTACATGCCCTGTAGGCAGAAACCAGGGAGCAAAGCTGTCAATCTCTGCAAGGAAATTTTCTAAAGTCTTACGCCCCACCTTGAGGTCCTTGGACTTTAGGAGTCTCCGAAGGACCAACACCAAGGCTGTGTATCTTTACTTGGCATGTTTCCCATTTTTAATATATCTTCTGTTATTTTTACTTCTATGTTTATGTTTTACACTCTTTTATTACCTTAAGTTCTGGTGTTATGTTTCATACTCACCGCGTGAGGCCCAAGAAACCCGCCACTTACGCGTGAGGTTGAGAGGAGTCTACAAACCCTGTAGGTGCGCGCCACCCAGGGCCCAGGCTTATCCTCTACTCACCTGTCCTGCAGCTGCAGCACTGTGTAGGAGAATGCAGTCCACCGCCGCGTCTCGGGGTTGATCAATCCCCGTGCGGGCCTCCAAATGTCGATGTCCGCTCCCGGCCGGCAGGAAAGACACACGACAAGGTCTGGCGGTGGTCAGGCTTTTCTTTATTCTCTCCTTATACAGTCTGCCCCGAAGCCTCTAGCGGTCCGCTCTCCGCGGCTCCTTCCGTGCTTCAGTCTGCCCCGAAGCCTCTACCGGTCCGCTCCCCGCGGCTCCTTTTGTGCTTCAGTCTCTCTCTCTCTCGGGGGTGGAGGCACTGGCTATATATAGGATTAATAGCTAGGCAGACTACCCTGTGAGGCGGGAACTTAGTGGGGTGATAAGAAACAGGTGCCACACAGGCGGGCTCGATGAGAGGGGTAATCTAGCCCAGGCTTTTGTACTTTCCCACAGGCCTCGCAATCACCGCGTCTGATGACTTGACAGTGCCACGGCTCCCAACACATTCTAGGGTTGGTTTGGTAGAAATTAATATCTTCAGTTGCCTATGTCTTATTTCTCCATTAATTTTGCAAGATAATTGTGCAGGATATATCAATTTGAGTTGAAATTGTTTTGTTTGGGGGCTTCAAATAATTCGTTTGTGAGTGTGACTTCTCAGCTTCAGTGTAAAACCCTCATCCCACTAGCACAGCTCCTTTATCTTGCTGGCATAGACTTTCTGGCTGCCACCGCTGACCCTTGGGTCTTCCCATCATGAATCCATAAAAGAGACTGGTGTGAGTCCTTGTTGTGGGCTCTGGACCTGCAGCTGGACTCATGGGAGGCATTGTCCTGAGCTCTGGGTTTTTATCTGGACTCATGTAGGACATTGCTGTGGGGTTTAGGCTCTTGACTAAATAATCTATGTCTTTGGTGTTATGGATAAATTTCCTGCATTTTCCTGTGTTAACTTCCAGTGACCATTATAAAAATATTATAAACTCCATGTCCTATCCTATTTCTTCTCTGTGTACAACACCTGGCAACAATGGGCATAGATTTATTTAGGGTTAGGGCAAGATGTTTTATATACTTGGTATACCTGCATTTCAAATTGCTGTTACCTGGGAACTTTTCTGCCACTTCTTCAGCAAATAGATTTATAAATCTGATTTGCATTGAGACCTGAATTTTCATTGACACCTATCTGTCATGTAATGCTTTACTTTATCCTGGAGCTGTCAAACTGTTATTTTATGCTCCCATGTAATTTTTAGGAGTTATTTCCTTTCATAATCACCTGATCTGTTCCTATCTTGAAGGTCTGAAAGTGTATCTTTAGTTCATTCAAGTGGTTTTGCCAACTTCCAATAAGTTTTTTAATTTACTAGATATCTCTGTAAATTTGTTTCATTGATTCTTTTTCTTTTCTCTATTGTTCATTCAAGGTTTCCATCATTTCCCAATACTCCTATACTTTTTATCTGTGTCTTCTACTTATGCTGTGCAAATTCATTTATTAAGGTTGTCATTTATTTTTACTTGAGAGATTATTTCTAACCTGACTTCCAATGTCCTCTATTTCAAACTCTCTAAATATTTCAAATGGGTTGGCACTTGAGATTGCATTTTGCTTTTTGGTCTTGTTATTTTCACCCCTTGGATTAATATTTTTGCCTTTTCTAATCTGCTTGATTTGATGGTGAATCATATATTTCTTAGGATAATGCTGTGTGGCTGATCCTCACACAGTTACTTGGTCCTACAGTGTAAGGAAGAGACCAATTGCATGAGTGTTATATTCTTTCTAGTTTGACTAGTCTAGAAGTACTGTTGTGAACTAATCTTTAGCTCATATTGTTACTGTGGCTTCAGGCTTCTCTATAATACCATACCCACCTGTCTACAGTGCATGCCCCAGGCAGAACCCTACAGTGTCACTGGGGATTTTGCAGGTCCAGCTGGGTTTCTCCAGGGGATGGGAGACCTCAATGGTGCTCTTTCCAGCCCACCCATCGCTATTTTTATGTAAGAGGTCTCAACTCTGTTTTTTCTGGTATGTCAAGGTCCTCCACTGAGTATCCTGTTGACCAACTGAAGTCACAACTTTAGGGTAAGTTCATCATCCTCTTTTGCACTGCTGAGTTTCTCTGTGTGGGAGGAAATATCACCTGGGTTCCTTCTAACACATCAAGGTACTGCAGGTGTTGGAAGGGTTGCTGATAGTCCCATGGGCTGCTGAGGGCATCCAGGTGAGGGGGGGAGGGTGGCTAATGGTTCTGTTACCTGCTAAGGTCACTTAAATGTAGGGGAGGACTGGCAAAGTCTTCCCTTAGGTACTGAGTTTGTCTGGGCTTGGGAAAGGGACAGGTGAGGCTTCTTTCTATTGCTGAGCTTGTTCTGGTGTGAAGGATTTCCATATCAGAGTATTTTATATCTTCTCCTATGGTTCATTCTTTGCAGATGCTACCATGATGAGTCTATGGAGGTATCCTTTCAAGGGTTTCTGGCCTTACCTGACACTATATGGCATTTCAGCTTCCAAAACACTGAACAGAATGAGATTCCTTTTCCTTGAAAAGAAAGCATTGGGTTCTTTGATTAAACTCTCCCAAACAACTTAATGAGTTTGATTATGATCCAGCAAGATCATTTCACAGTGCATTCCTTAGAAAATATAATTTCTGGATATGCAGTTAACTGATTTTTTGTGCAAGGAAAATAATCACTATTATTGTTCTAATGCTCCATTTCATATTCTCAGTTTGTTGATTTTCATATGAACTTACTGTGGTTTGCAAGTTCAGTTTAGGTTATTGGTTAATATTTAGCAAAGTGAGACAGAGCTGCAGAATAAACAAAAGGTATGAGCCATCTTCAGTGGTATTTGAGCATTCTGAAATTTTTAAATTTCATATGGTCAACTGAGTTCAGTGTTTAATATTGAATGAGGGTTTATATGACCTTCTATCCTGTGAGTTCAGTGTTGCACATTATCATCAGATATGTGTTATCATTGGTGATTTCACTTGAAATTCAGTACATGCTATTTGTTTTGTTTTCAGTTAATACAGCTGACTCAGAGCTTATTCTTTACAGCCCCGAATTTTGTTTTGAGGTTATCTCAGAATATTATAGTGTTTGCAACATATAACATAATGTTCTAAGGGCCAGACAGGGAAACTGAATATAAAAATATGTTCACTTCGGTGAGTGAGTCCAGCTCCACTTAACAATGCTGTTTCCATTGTCCCTTCCTTTTCTTCACAGTTGCATGTGTGCTCCGATTTGTTGTTTCAAAACTGTCTCATTTGTTAGCTTATGTCTAACTTGAAAACTGTTCTACTATTACATGTCAATGTATAGTTGTAGCCCTAGACCTTGGTATTAATTCCTGCAGTCAATTTCCCTCATTGACAGATAAATAAAACAGGCCCCAATATTGCCAGGCAATTCCCATCCCACAAGTCCTGTTGGTTTCATGTCATCATATTTTTAAATAGGAGCAAGTTGAACCAAAGAAATGAGGTCAATTTTGTCAAATATTTCTGGGAGCTTTGGTAATGGGTAATTTGGTTTTGTAATACATCCAAATTTATAAATTAGTACCATATTTTTGACAGTTGTATATTTACACAACGTTTTGTCAGTTTAACAGTTAAATTAACCTCCTAAACGTAGTCTGTTAAATGCAGCAGGCACACAAACAAAGTAAGATACAATGGCAGTGAGGTTAGGCAAGAGAATGAATTAACCATGCCTCTCCTCCAGCCACCAAATCCAGATATGAAGTGATTTTCCAAATTGGCAAATAGATGGAATTTTGTTCTTTCAAGAAAAATCCGTATTCAATGTGATATTTTTACTTAATATTAGGCAAATCATCAATGAGTTCAAAGCCAAATATGTTCTCAGTAGATGTGCCTTGGATGGAAGATGTAGGCCAGAAAAAAGTTCCTTTGGGTAGTATCTGCCTCTTTATATCCATTCTTACTTTATCCACTTCCTCGCTGCCTCTGGTTAAGCAGTTTTTACCCCCAACACAACGCTGTTTCTTCCTTGCAGCCAACTGACTATTGACTGAACCTCTGAAACCAAGAAGCCAAAGAAGACCTCTCTTCCTTGAATGTATGAGAAATAGGTGTTCTGTCCCAGAGATGGGAGAATTTTAATGACAAATATTGTTAACATAAAATGTTGCTTGCAATTAAGAAAACAATCTATTTTTGTGGAAGTTCAAATTTGAGTAGAATACTCAAGTCATTCCAGCACAATGCAGCTTATGTCTACTGAGCACAATCATTCAACCAAATGAAGTCAGCACAAAAGGCTTTATATGATTTTCTATAAATGGATATTAGCATCAAACTCATGATGATCCTTCTATCACTGATTCCTCTGATGACATGCCCATTTTAATTGATATGTGAGCCTAATGGCTTGTGAATGTTACCTGACATTTGTCTTTCAACATAATGAAATTCTTAGTCATACCTGCATGATTGGCGTATTACAAGTATATGTTTCTACCTTTAACTAGAATAGTATCTGTCCTAGTCAACTTTTTAAATTTTATTTAAAGAAAGACTAAGCAAAACACAACATAGGTAGAAATAATACATGTTCAGAGAAAAAAATGAACAGTAAGAAATCACTACTTGATGTTTACATATTGTCATTTTACAAATAGTTGTTCAAGACACAAGAGTGGAATATGTAAAGTGGGAATTCAAACAGCGAGACTGCAAACAGTTCTTTTCAACTGTTCAACAAAAGCCTAGTAACATGGTTGTCAATCCTATACACTTAAACATACATGCATTTATCCATATCTTCATTTATGTTTCGATTAAATGAACAAAAGCAGGTTAAAATCATTCTGAACAAAGAATAACAGTATTGTTGGATTTCACATCATGACACTTTGTGATCAGCCTGGAGTACTGTAATGCCTTTTTTAAAATTTTAATTTAAATAAAGACTAAACAAAACAAAAAATGGGTAGAAATAATACATACTTTCAAAGAAAAAATTAATAGTAAGAAATAACTAGTTGATGATTACAGATTGTCTTCTTACAAAGAGTTATTCAAGACACTAAAGTGGAGTATATAAAGTGGGGATTCAAACAGTGTGATTGCAACCAGTTCTGTTCAACTATCCAACAAAAACTTAGAAATATGGTTATCAATACTATATACTTAAACATAAATGCAATTATCCATATCTTCAATTATGTTGAGATTGAATGAACCCAAGCAGGCTAATATCATTCTGAACAAAGAATAATACTATTGCTGGGTTTCACAGTATGACACTCCAGGATCAGCACTGGGTATTTTAGTGTCTCTTTTTCTTCAAAGTATGTGTTCATTTCATCATGTGTCATAAGATCAGTTCTCATAAACTGTTTATAGATTCCACACATGTGTGAATCTTAACATGTATTTCTATCCTTTCTATATTTGAGGGAGAAACAAAACAAAGCATGGCAAAAGAAAACATATTCCTATAAACACATGAAATGAAATAAACCTATAAGATCATTGTACAAAGAGTTCTACCATGGTTCGTGTGCTGTCTCTCGTTATCTCCAATACAATGGCTATATCAACAGACATAGTATAATTGAATATATCAGTACATAACAGTATTAGTAAAAAAACAACTACGTATATAGTATAGAACTTCAAAAACTGGCAGTTATCAAACCAGAATGTGTATTGTAGAGTCGTCATCTTCAGTGTAGTTGGCTATATTCTCAGACTTGATACTATCAATCATAACAGTGTTGAATAAAATCTTCTCTGCCTCATTTCTGTTATGCTCTTGTTTGCCATCAGTTGTCTGTTTATCTTCTTCATTCTGTTTTCTGCTCCATTCATTGAAGCCTCTCTGCCACTATTCATGGAATCCAGATACTTTTCTCTATATATAATGCCTTGGAGTATTCTCTGTAGAGTTTGATTGGTGGTTGCAAATTTCCCAAGTTCCTTTTTGTCTTGGAAGCATCTTGTTTCTCCATTAATTTCTAGAGACAGTTTAGCAGGGTATATCAACTGGGCTGTAGGTTATTTTCTTTCAGGGCTTGGAATATTTTGCTCCAGGCTCTTCTTGACTTGATGGTTTGTGTGGAGAAGACTGCCATTATTCTGATGGGCATTCCTCTACAGGTTATCTGTTTCTTGTCTCTAACAGCTTTTAATATTCTGTTCTTATATTGAATTTCTGGGATCTTGATTATTATACGCCTGGGTGTAGTTCTGTTTTGGTTGTAGGTGGCTGGAGTTCTGTATGCCTCATATATCAGAATATCATTTCCTTTTCCTATATGTGGGAAGTTTTCCTTAATTATTTCTGTGAATGACCTTTGTCATTCCTTTGTTTGTACCTCTGCTTCTTCATTAACATTCTTTATTCTCAAGTTATAGATCCTCTTGTCATCTTCAAACCTTTGTATTGTTACTGCCTGTTTCCTTGTTATTTTTAAAAAGTTTTGCCTTTCATAATTCCACATTGCAAACTGCCCTCAATTTTGGATAATCTATCCTTAGTTTCTTTCAAGGTGATTTGCCATCTTTCCATAGAGTTTTTAATTTCCTGGTAATCTTTTTGAATGTGCTTCATGTAGTCTATATTTTCTTTGTATTCTTCATCAAATGGTTCTCTCCTTTGTTTGAGTTCCTCCTTTCTTCCATCTGTGTCTGTTTGAGGGGTGCTTAGTATTTCTGTTATTAATTTTATTATCTTGCTTTATTTGGCTAAATATTTCACATTTGAACTCATCTATGAGGGCCCAAAGATATCTCTTATGTCCACTGGCACTGTGTCTGATATTGCATGTTTGCTGTTCTCATTCTCCTGTGTATTTACCTGTCCTGGGTCAATGTTCTCAGGGTTGGGCCTGGAGACATTTTGTTGTTGCCTCCTCTTCCCATCTTTTTTGCTTCTTTCAGGAGGCCCCAGTTTCTTTCTTTGTTGGTTACAATTCTTCTGAAGCATGCTGGCTAGATGACCCTTCCCACTGCAGTGTGCTAGTGAGTTGTAGACAGGACAGTGCGTTCTTGCCCCTCCCCTGTGGATCAGTCAAGTGCTGTGGCCTGCACTGTATTACTTTTGGTCACCTCCCCTCCAGGTGACAGCAACTGGAGCACAAAGGTGGCAGCAGAGGCAGCAGCGGAGTTTGCACCACCTCACCTCCCGGTCTGTGGCCACAGTGAGTTCAGGGGTGGGGGCAGCAGGTGGGCACCCAGTCACTCCTGGGCCCATGGCAATAGGTCTTGCCAGTTGCCCAGAGATGCTGTAGGTGGCAACCGGAGTGTGGCAGCATGGGGATGAATCAAGTTGCTGTGACATGCACCACCTCTCCTCTGGGTCAGTCAAGCTGTTGTGTGGCCTGCACTGTCAGTCAAACTTCTGAGAATTCACGGGGTTAGTTTGGTTAGTGTGTGCCACCACTGTAGGGACTTAATTTCAGATAACCTATTGGGTTTCAGCCAGGTTATGTGACCCAGGCCTAGCTCACTCCACCAATCCCATTCTGGGAGGGAACAATTGACTGAAGATGCTGCTTCCCTTTGTACTTGCTAGTCCTGCCTGGTCCCATATGTCATCCTCTGGATCC